TGTCCTGAATGGCAGGTACAATTCCCCAATATTGGATTGTGGTGTCTTTAAGGGGGACAATTTTAGGGGCATTGCTGTACTCAAGAGGTTCTCAATCATGCAGGGCACGAGGTGTTCAGAGGGAGTTTGGGCTAGCGAGAGGTCTGATTTCCAGTACTCTGTGGTTTGACAAGTCCATGTTAGGGACCCGGAATTTTAGAGGTTCCAAAAGACTTGGGTGGGAAAACCTTCCAAACCTTGACTACCAGGACTGTGAAGTGAAGCAAAAAGAAAGAGCGCACCAACCTTGCGCATTTCCTCAGTAAATCTGTGATTTTATTAAATAAAATTTATATAGTCACAAACAAGGAAGTTAAACAAGCATTACAGATCCTCAAAGGAACTAGGGAGTGTAGAGCCAGTGTGAGTCCCTTCATGGGGGTAGACTCTCAAAGTGAGGCTGACGCGTTTCGAAGGGGGACCCTTCTTCATCAGAGCTTTTTTTGTCTTTTCTTTCTTTTTGCTTCACTTCACAGTATCGATCAGGCTTCTCCAGCCTTGTTCTAGAGCTGCACAACCTTCCATGCACTGGTGGAATTGTTTTGAAGTTCCATCGATTCTTCCATCCCGGGTTCGAGTCCTATAGCGCAGGAGGTGTTGTTTCTGTACCTGACTACTAGGACTCTGGTCCCAAAGACTGTTTGTCATTCAGTGACTGCCTGCCAGTATGAGGTACGGGCAGATAGCTACACAGACAGTCTGCAGGAGCCTGAGATTGCAACTGGGTGCAACGATTTACAGGCTCACCAAAAAAACAAAACAAAACAAAAAAAACAGATGCAAATTTTTTTTTACCTGCAAAAGATTTGCATTTATAATTTTTTTTTCTTTTAGAAACTTATCCTTTAAAGTGCCAATCACTTAGAAGTATTTCTTGAACAGATGTAACTTGTCCTCCAGATAAGTTGGCACTTCAAGGTAACTGCATGCATGTTTAGTTAAAGTATAATCAGAGGCAAAACTTTTTTTTTTGTTTTGGATAGAGTAGTGTTGGATTAGAACACCTTTTATTGCTGTCTGTGCCCCCTTAAGGAGATTCACCCTCTCGATTTGCTCTGTTAGCCATTATCAATAAAAGTGAAGGTAAAATAAAATCCCAAATTTTGGGTTTTCCCCAGAAAATAATAGGAGGGAAATCTTCCAATGGGGACAATAGTTCTGGTGACCCCAAGGAATTCCCTTAATTTGCAGGGATTTCCTCTCACTTCTAGTTTAGCTATGGGATAGGAAATGAGGGGAAATCTCTGCAATGGGGACACAGATGGAGACCCTCCTTACTCTATTCAAAATGGAAAAAAAAGAAGTTGTGCCTATAGTTCTACTTTAATTTGCAGAAGGTTCACACAGCATCCAGATATCTCAGTGCTGGCCTGCCCTGCTCATATCCCCACTGGCATGCCAAAGTGTAACTGGTGGCCTCACTAGCCAATAGGGAGGGTAAAAGGTCTCTGATTGGAGCTCTGCTGAAATGGATACATATTTTTTTTCAAGTTTACACCTGCGGGGATTATTTTGATATTTTGGACACTTTTGTTTGTTTTTATATTTTATTGTATTTTTTATTTTTAAAAAAAAAGAGAAAAGTTTTATAATTTTTGTTTGATTGGCCTTCAAGGGTGGAGGTGGATGACTTTTTTGGGATATTACACGGGGATTTTTGTGCTGTGTATTTTAATATATATATATATATATTTTCAAATGTTGCTACAAATTCTCAAAACAAAACAAGAACTATAATGATATTTTATATTATGACAAAATTATGATGATTTTGCTCAAAATACCCTATTAGTTTATTATACACATTTTTTTTGTAGCACTACAAAGCTTAACTGTCCTAAAAATGTTTTAAACTCTGAGAATTGGGGCTCTATATTTGTAGTTACGCCGCTGATTCTGTCGATGACTTACAAATCTTTTTCTGAACGTCCTATCAACCTTTTTTACCAGTGTATCAGAAAAACAAAGAATTGAAGAATATATATATAAAAAAAAAAAAACTATAAGACATGAAGTAGAAAATAGTTCAAGTGAACTAAAAATGTTCATAATGCCACAAGACACTTTATCATGAACAATGCGAAAAGAACAGGCTACACAAGATAAAACAATCAGTCACTCACTATACTGCACCCTATAATCTCACAATGGGAACACAAAGAAACCTAAAACTCAACATATGCAGTAATCTGTAAATGATGGGAATGGTTACAGGACTCTGACCCATTTTACTTGACCGACATAATGAAACAAGGAGCTGACATTTCATGGAAAAGTGACTCATGCCCTCTTTATGAATTAATGTTTTGTCACCAGCTGCTAAATAGCTTAGTAAACCATTAAATAGGATTAAATCAATCCTTTCACCTCTACCCCTACCACTGTGTAAACCAATCAACTCTCTCTTCAGTTTTTTTTTTTTAAGCTTGTCCTCTGTTTCTTTAACCATTTGCCGCCCGCCCTATGGCCGAATGGCGGGCGGCAAATGTCATCAGCGTTCCGGGTGGACGCCATATGGCGTCCTCCCGCACATGCACAGATTGCGCTCCTGCAGCTCGGCGCAGCGGCGCGCGATCTGTCACTGGCTGTGTACCTCGGACACGGCCGATGACAGATCTGAGTATCGCCCCATGCCGGTACCATGTGACCTGCTGTGACCAATCACAGCAGGTCACATGACAGTTGTATACAATGGATGGCTTCATTCATGCCATCCATTGTATACTAGTGTGTCTAGCTGTGAATGGTCATAGTGATCAATGCACATGTCATGTGATTAGCTGTGGCCAAATCACAGCTAAGCACAAAAAAAAAAAACCCCTGAATGAATCGACGTCATTCAGGTAAATGCTTGCTTATAGCAAAGTAATTCTTTGCTATAAGCAAATTGTGTAAAAAAAATAAAAAATACTGATCACTTCCCCAAAGTAGTACAATGTTACTATGGTAACATTGTACTACTTTGGTCATAGTGAAATATGAAAAAAAAATCTTAAAAAAAGAAAAAAAAAATGTAATAAAAAAAAATATATATATATTTTTTTTTTCATACTGTCACCAGTCAGTGTACTGCACCAGTGACAATATGTAAAACAAAATAGTGAAACTAATTTTTTTTAATTTTTTAATTTTCCAAAAAATACTTCAAAAAACTCACCATGCCTCTTATGAAGTACGTCGGACTGTCTACTTTGCAAAAAGGGGTCATTTGGGGGATATCTGTACTGTTCTGACATTCTTGGACCTCAAGAAATTAGATTGGCTGTCAGTACTTCAGGACTGATCAATATTCAGATCTATACCATAGTTTGTGAACTCTATAACTTTCCTACAAACTAAAAAATACATCCTAATTTGGGTTATTTTCACCAAAGACATGTAGCAGAATACATCTTGGCCTAAATTTATGAAGTACAATTATTTATTTGCAAACTTTTATAACAAAGAAAAACTTTTTTTTTTCAAAATTTTTTTGGTCTTTTTTTGTTAATTTAGCAAAAAATAAAAACCCCAGCGGTGATTAAATACCACCAAAAGAAAGCTCTAGTTGTGTGAGGAAAATGATAACATTTTAGTTTGGGTACAATGTTGTATGACCGTGCAATTGTCATTAAAAATGTGAGAGCGCTGAAACCTGAAAACTGGCCTGGGCAGGAAGGGGTAAAATTGCCCGGTATTGAATTGGTTAAAGTCCACCTTAAAGTGGTTAAGACTAGATATTTTTGAATTTCCTGCATTAGGGTAAAAAATGTCCCAGTAGCAGTAGTGCACCCACTCATCAATACTTACCTCACTTGATCCAACGCTGTGTCCGTCTGTAGAAGCTCTCTGCTCTCTTCCTGTATTCACAGAACAGAGGCAGCCATTGGCTCCTGTGAGAATGGAGAGGGGGCAGGGCCGAGCTGCACTGTGTGTGTCTATGAATGCATGCAGCCTGGATCAGGAGCGAGCTCGCACATGTGCCACCATAGGAAGCGGCTTCCTATGGTAGCACACCAACAAGTGGAGAATCCATGAGTGCAGGTGGGGGGATCCCAGAGGAGGATGTTTGGGGCCGCTCTGTGCAATGGTAAGTATAAACCGGTTTGTTATCTTAATTAAAAAAATAAAGACTTTACAATCACTTAAAAAAAAATAATAAATGCACATATTTGTGAAGTAAAATAAATGCGCATTTATTATTTTTTTTCACAGGAGACTACAAAGCACTGCATCTATGATCAGTGGATTGTGGATGCAATGCCAGGCTCAAGCAGACTTGTCCTCCAGATTCCTTCCGAAATTGAGGTATGGGCTTTCAGTTGAAGGGCTGGAGGAAGTGTCAATGGACTACGAGTGCGGTGATCACTGAACTTGTATTCCAATGGGAACTACAAGTCCCACCAAGTCACAAGTCCTCCACGGCAGACATTTGTAGCTCATTCATTCACAGATTGTGCCCATTTCAAAAGTGACAGTGGCTGTAAAAGGAGAAAAAACCCTCACGCTGTCATGAAGGGGGGGGGGGGGCATTCCGTAAATGGGGATGTTAACTTGGCACCATGTTACACCTTAAGTATGGTTGTAATAAGTGACATGGTGTAAAAGATGGAGTTGGCTTTCCAGCATCTGAGAATGGCACTGGTACAGTAACATGGAAGAAAACAGTGAGCAGGTATAAAAAATGCAGGAGGGGTGAAATTCTAATATTCAGACAAAACTGCAATTTAATTGCAATCACTGCAATCATTGTCAGTTCCGCTACTGTTATTTTCTTTTTTCATATCCAATTGTGGTTCTTAAATAAAACAGATTATTAATATATGGGCAGAAAAGCCACTGGGTTTTCCATATCTATATAATGAAGCAAGGCCTATGCTTATGGACACTCTAGTACCTTATGGCCATTGGCATAATCCTTTACAGCCTACTGTCATTCATAATGACACAAGCACTTTAACTGACAGACATTTTGCACTGACCTCCACTGCTCCCAGCATGGCAGCGACAAGCCCCATGGCCATACTCAGCGTCTGTGTTGCTACTGTAACTCCCTCTGGGGTAGAAAAGACTTGAACAGGCCCGCTCTAGAGTCATCAACACAAATTCTACCACCTGTGTGCATAGAAAATTAGTGGATATGAACATGGAACAGAACCTTTGCTTATCAAATTTTAAAAGGTTATGCAGACCCCAGCATGCTTTGCTATCTATCTCTCACCTGCTTGACATCTGTGAAGATGGAGTCGGAGATCTTTTCGCACAGCACAGAGAGAACCTGCAAGAGCTGAAGGTATTTTTCCTGCGACTGGTAGCGAAGTGTTAGCTTCCGCTCAATGTCAAGCAAGCTGTCCCCTGAGCTATGTCTGAGCTCTTCACTTTCTTCTACCGGTGCTACGGGGGTCAGCTTCTACAAAGAGCAAGGAAAACAACATTGATGCAAAAAGTAGGCTGCCACCAGTGTTACACAGACCATAAACAAGAAAGAATATTGAATGGAGTCCATGGGTATGAGTTTCAATCTACAGCCAGAAAACAGTGTCCTGATCAATGCTTCTTGGAGGTTGCTTACCCTGGCTCTACGCAATGGGCTAATGATTACTGCTAAAAATGCTTCACTTCAGACACATCCTTCTCCATCTACTGTCACTTCTCTTAAAGACATATACAGCTTTATTCAAACAGTTTGGACGATGTGCTAAAAGCAGTGATCCTTAGCAAACAAAGTTCCATGCAGTGAAATCAGGAGAATGAAAAATTATTGAATGGATGTTGCTAAGAAATGAAGTAAACTGCACTTTGCTTTCTGCAGCTACCTTTAGGCAGTACAAGAAGAAGTCTGCAGCCAGTCCGGTGTGTGAGGTTTCACAGACAGTAAATCCACTAAACACTGCATCCTCCACTGATCCGAAGACACCTTCTCATACAGAATATCATCGTCATCTTCACCACTGTAAGACACAATGCAGAGAGCAAAGGTGATCATTTCTATGAGCTCAAATATAGCAGTTGTGTCACTTTGGTGTGTATACAGCAAGAGTAAATTAGAATGCCAGAACAAAAAAAAAAAAAAAAAATGGAGAGCAATAAAGGATAAAATACAAAAAGCAGTCTTTGCTGCAATACACAATTTGAATCTGGAGTTGTCCTCACAGTAAAGAAGCCCTCAGTCTTCTGGCCTAAATGACAGCTACTCCTGAGGATGTCAAAGAAGAAGTAATAATCAGCGCAAATACCAAAATCAAGACCGGAACAGCCTGGTAGTAGGTAGAAATGGTTAGGGTGACTTTAATTGGGGGGTCCGTAAGGCACTAAGGGCAAGCTCCATATAGTACTGCAGCAGAGTCTGTGTAAAGGAGAGAAGGAGAAGCGCCTATAAGTGCAGCATAACACTTTATTGTAGTGTAAAAGTAGGAACACTCACATTTATGTGGATTAATACAGGCATGTTATTGTAGGGTGTAACACCAAAATAGAACGGCTGTCATCGGTTCCCACTGTGTACACGTCTCAGCTTGACAAAGGAGCACGCTTCCGCCACTAGAGGCTAGCGCATGCTCCGAAATGCGTCGCATTGTATCCTGGTTTCGCTGACGTCATCACGCCCACGGCGCGCTCCAGCATGCGTTCCAGCTGCCATTGAGGAGTACGTGCATGCCGGCCGGCTCCACAGCTGTCTCCCTCCAGCCACCACGCTGCTCCAGCGAGACGTTGACACAGTGAGAACCGATGCCAGCCATTCAATTTTGGTGTTACACCCTACAATAACATACCTATATTAATCCACATAAATGTGAGTGTTCCTACTTTTACACTACAATAAAGTGTTATGCTGCACTTAGAGGCGCTTCTCCTTCACTCCTGAGGATGTCGCACACTGATGACAAAACACGCTGGGCGGAACTTCAGGTCTGTCTGGAACACATGCTGGGCAAGCAGCACCTCTTACATTAGCTGTGTTTCTTCAGTGTACATTAGTGCATATGATTTTTTTTTTTTGGCACTTCTATCCTAAAAGATTTTACGTATGAGAGAAACACCTCTCTTTGACACCCTCATATGTTTGGGTGACCTGGGCAAATGTGTTTGGTATACTATCCAGTGGGAAAATCTGTTCTGGTAAAGTGGAGGTCAATCCAAGGGTTCCTACTCAGTGGTCCTGGCTCCAGAGGAGTTATAACAAGTGCATTTGACTTTCTTGTTTTCTGACAAGAGTTCATTGGCATCCGATGAGTGTGGAATGTTTTCCAGGGGCATGTGGTGGATTGGAGCATGTGGTGGTTGTAATTACAATGCAAGTACAAGTGCTGTATTTTGGACTGTATTATTTGGCATGTGATATACAACTACATGTGGGGACATTTATTCATTTTATTTTTACTTCTGTTTATACGGATGTTTAATTATTATATTTATTGAACGTATTGCACAATTGTGTTGCATGTGCTGTTTTTATGTACATGGATGTCTAAATGACAGCTAATATCATTCAACCCAGGTTCTCTAAGCCGAAGCTGTCATGGACCATCCCCTATTGTGGCATCATCACATATGAGCTAAGAAGATTAGTACACAGCAAGGTGCTCACATGTCTTTACATAAACGCCAATCAGTGGAGCAGTAAGTAGTGCCCCACCACCACCGGACAAGTAGAGGAAGGATGTGTAATGTCATAGCACAGGCTGGAAGGCCCTTGGAAAAAATGAGGTGTGTAGGGGTGTGTGTGTGTGTTTTTAAGTGGGGGCCCAGGACATGTGTTAGATATAGTAGACTTCATGTTACCTAATAGCTTCCAATATATTTTGGGAACACCATGAGAATTCTAAGCCTGACTTCCCAGCATTATCCCCATGTTTTATCCATTATATATGGATCCTATCCCCTATAGGGGATACAATAGAGAATGTAGCAGGAAGAGAGAACGGAAAATTTGCAGCCCACAGCACAATCCATGCCTCTCCCTTGCTTGCTACACAAGCTGTAGGTATGTGCCTACTTATCATGTCTATCGGGTGATTTTTCTTTTCTCTGTTCTGGGCCGTTTTTGTCAGAAAGGTGCATCATTTTCTCAATAAAAATCAAAGCTACACATAATTTGGAGTCATACTTGTATTTCAGTCTATTTACGAATTGATCTTGCCATCTAGAGGCAACTAGAGGAATCTAAAATGTAAAAATCTCACTTTTTCTGTTCTTGAACAGTGATGACCGCTCCACCATGGCTTCCTGGCTGGATGTGGCAATAGGGAGGCAGAGAAGGGACCCATTCCTCCAGGCCACTCAGCCCTGCCAGTGCGGAAACTGCAGAATCTCTGTCCGATTTCTCTAGGAACCACAGGAGGATATCCTGGCTTGGTGACCTGGAAAAGGTAACATTTAGTATTCAAACAAACATCATATCTATTTTTATCACCTTGTTTGAAATAAATGTGTTTCATAATTTGAAAGGTTTACCTTAAGTTTTTTGAATCTTTCACTCTGAACAGGTTTTAAAAAATATTACTTTGCAACTGAAAGAATTCTTCCTCAATAAGAATTATTAATACTTTAACATTTGCTTAGGTTCTCTCTTCATTAGCGAAAAGGCTTCTGACCCTTTACACGAATATTAAGACCTCTTGCCTACCGGGCACTTATACTCCCTTCTTTACCAGGCCAATTTTCAGCTTTCAGCGCTGTCACACTTTGATTGACAATTGCGCAAGATTGTACCCATATGAAATTTTTATCATTTTTTTTCTCACAAATAGAGCTTTCTTTTGGTGGTATTTAATCGCCACTGGGCACTTTACTTTTTGCGCTATAAACAAAAAAATTGCAAAAAATTTGAAAAAAAAAAAAAAGTTTCTTTGTTTCTATTATAAAATTTTTCAAACAGGTAATTTTTCTCCTTCACTGATGTGCGTTGATGAGACAGCACTGATGGGCACTGATAAGCGGCACTGATGGGCACTGATAGGCAGCACTGATAGGCAGCACTAATGAGGTGTCACGGATAGGCGGCACTTATAGGCGACAATGATGATGGGTACTGATAGACAGCACTGATAGGTGGCACTGACTGGCATCACTACTGGGCACTGACTGGCACAACCGCTGGGCACTGACTGGTGCCACTGACTGGCAGCACTGCTGGGCTGCACTGATGGGCACAGGTGGGTGGCACTGGTGGGCATAGGTGGGTGGCACTGCTTGGCTAAGGAAGGTGGCACTTCTGGGTACAGGTAGGTGGCACTGCTGGGTGGCACAGGTGGGTGCACTGCTGGGCACAGGTGGGTGGAGTTAGTGGGCGCACTGCTGGGCACCGATCATCAGTGCACTGATCATCAGTGCCGATCCCTGCTCTAAGAATTGCCGGTTCTCGGCAGTACTTTCCTCACGATCTGACAGCGTGAGGAAAGTGCAGCCGAGAATCGGCAATTGCATTTCCCGGTGATCAGCGTGTCATTGGACACGGCTGATCACGTGGTAAAAGGCCGCTGTGATTGGCCTTTTACCACATCACGTGATCAGCTGTGTCCGTAGGACACAGCGATCACGGAGATCGCCGGGTGCGCGCCCAGCGCGTTCTGGGAGGACGCCATATGACGCCCACCCAAAACTGGCCGGCCGTGCAGCCGTCATTCGGCTATCTGCGGTCAGCAAGTAGTTAACAAAACAACACATCTGTTTGCTGAACATGTTCATCAATTGGCATTATTGGGTGTGTAAAGCCCAAACGTGTTTTTTGTAGTTATGGAGAGAATGTAAAAGAATAAAACTATTTGTCAAGTTCTTTGCTGTCTGTGCCTCCACTGGGAAGATTAACCCACTGTGCTTGTCATGGTACCATCGTCACAGAGACAGAAAGCGATGGGGAATCTTACATTTCAAGGTGGTCCGAGTAGGCCAAGGAATTATGCCATGTCATGTGTATGGAGAATTTTACGGCTCGGTTACACAAGAGAACTAACATTTTTGATACCTGGAATCCCTGGTTGCTGTACAAAAGCTTTTGTTAGCAAAAGGCTGGGTTCACATGGATGCGATGCCGGAAATGCACAGAAATGGCTGCGTTTCCTGCATCTCCCCCCATAGCACTGTGTTCATGTGATCTGGTGCGGGTGTCAAAAGTTACTGACACTCCAAAAGCAGGTCACAGACATAGTGCGTTTGCCTAAATTGGATTGCATAGTTATGAACACCCATGTGATCCGATTCCAGTGTGGCTTGCACCTTTTTCGTATGGATGCGGTGCGATTTGAGTCATACAAAATGATGGGCTTAAATTACACCACACAAAATCTCATGTGCTTTGCACAGGAATGTGAAGTGATTTATGTGCGGATCCCATGCAATGAGACAGTGTGAACTGGGGCTTAAACTATATTTGCAGCTTGGACCTGACTATCATAGGCTGTGATCGTTACCCGCTGTACCCGTAGTTGGGCTGCTACATGCTCAGAGCATGGTGCGTCTTCTCCTTGTCCTCTCTTCTTTCTATCTCTTTTTCTTTTCCTCTCCCTTCTTCTTCTGTTGCTTTGTCCGATTTCTATGATCTGAGTTGTGCATTCCCCAAAAAGTAGCCAGGTGTTCTGTGGGTTTATATTGTAACAATCACATAATGGTTACGAATGTTTTCTTAAATGCCAATTTTCTATGTGTGATGTCTGCTGGAATAATCTCTTTGACAACTTTGGGGGAGGGGGATTTAATAAAACTGGAGGTCTCAGAATCTGGTGCAGCCGTGCATAGTAACCAATCCCCTTCTGAAGTCAGTTCGCTCAATTAAAGAAACACTAAAGCTTTGTTTTTTTCTCTCCTAAAATAACAAACCTGCTCTGTGATTTTGCACAGAGCATCCCCGAATCTCTTCTTTTTGGTTCCCTGTCGGCGCTCCTCCCCCTCAAGCAGTGCCCCCAGGGAAAGCCGCTCGCCCTTGGGGCACCGCTGCTTGTTCGTCCCCGCCCCTTGCTCTATCCTCATTGGCTCACTGGCTGTGATCGACAGCTCCCACTGCTGTCTCAGCCAATGAGGAGGAACAGTACCCAGACAGCACAGGCTGTCATTAACGTCACTGGATTGGAGATCGCTCAGGTAAGGATGGGGGGGGGGGGGGTTGCAGAAGGTTTTTTACCTACGTGCATAACCTTTAGAACCACTTTAAGCTTTGAAACCTGTTTTTTTTTCTATGCAAAGCTGCTCCAGTTTTAGTAAATCTCCCCCAATGTATCTGTTTTGTACCACAACAGTGGTGGGATTGTGATTTTGCTTCATATCTATCAATGACTCTGTCTAGCTTTTTACTTTGTTTATAAACTAAAATAAAAATATTTGAAATTTAAAAAAAAAAAAAAAAAAAAATCAGCGTGGTCACAAAAACAAGTGGTAAGGGGGGATTCTTCCCATTGGAGCACCTGTTCCAGTGACACCTAACAGCAGAATTCCCCTCATTTTGCAGAAATTTTCTCTTATTTCCTGTTGCATCTTGGGGCAGGAAGTATAGGGAAAACTACAAAAAAAGCCACATACAGAAAAAAAAATAGAGGGGCCCTCCCCCATAAAGTTATTCCCATTACAAACTGACGTGTGCGCTGTACAGTATGCAACACTGTGTTCGCCAGCAGTACGGGTGACTTCCTGTCTGCTGAATAAACTGATTTGAGTTGGCTTAAATGCTTCTCAGCCATTCATGATGTCATCTGCACATCTCTCCACCTCAACCAAACAGAGAGCCTTATGTTCATTCATAAAAAAAACAAGACTTCCCCTGAATGGCTAGGAAGCATCCTGGCAGAATCGATTTAGTTCTGGCAGCAGATGGGAAGTTGCCTGCACTGCTTAGTACTTCATACTGTATAAAGCACGAACAAAGTCCGGATCACGTACAGAATTTTTCTCTTTGTTGGATAGTGTCTTAAAGATTTGACCATTCTTGAATTACTTCTATTAGACAGAGCTGAGTTCATATCAAAGGCCAGCCAACACTATTGAGTCTATTTATAAAATGTTTTCACATAAGATTATCACAACTTTCACTAATAGGTTTCAACTGGAAAAATGAGTGAATTCTGGGTGAAAGTTGTGAGTCTGGTCTGAAAACATTTATAAAAAGACCCCTATATGTAATTTATAACATCTCCGGAACTGCACATGAAGGTGTACTTTTATTACCATGCCATGTTGAGGGCCGTTACACACTGCGGCTCTTCACCATCTATAAAGCTCTATGAGGAAAGCATGTTTATTAAAGCGGAGCTCCACACAAAAGGGGGATTTCCACTTTCAGGACTACTCCCCATTAAGGATTGGCACCTTTGGGGGGCGGGTATCCGAGTTTGGCAGGTACCCGCTCCCACTTCCGGTCTGATCGCCTAGTGTCCTCCCTGCTGTCAGGACCGGAGCTGTGGAATGGACAGGCAGGCCTAATGGCAGGGTCACGCACCGACTGACGACAACCACCACCCACAGACCAGAGTCCTTCAGGGTGCGGAGTCTAAGTCCCAGGCTGCCCTTCACCAGGGCCCCTGATGGTGGGGATGGACTTGACGCAGCCAGGGACCAGGTCACGGCCCCCGAGACACCCCAGCTGCGGTAATGGCCGCCGCCAATGGTGTATAGCTGGTAGGAACCAGAAGACAATAGCGTAGTCGGGCAGGCCGGGTCGATAACAACGGGACAGACAGTACAGAACGGTAGACAAGAATAACAGGTCACAAGCCGGGTTCAGCAACGGGAGGTCAGATAAAAGGGATAAGGCAGAGAATAGTCTAGTCAAAAGCCGAGTCAGTTTCCAGGAGAGTCACGAGAGTATAAACAGAACTTGTTGCAACACGAACATACAAGACACAAATGCAAAGGGCATGTGCGGACAACAGGCTTATATATGATCAACCACACCCCCTCTGGGGGATGGACCGCAGAGGCCTGAAGGCATAAAAAACTCCCACCATGCTCTGCAGAAATCCAAGATGGATACCAGCACATGGAGCAGCACAACCTCTGGGAAACGGTAGGACCTTGACACCTCCCTGTAGTTTTTTGGGACACGTGACAGGTCCCAGAAGACTACAGAACCATTCATGAAGCGCAGCGCTACTTGCGCATGCGCAGTGAGTACCCGGCTGTGAAGTTGCAAGTTATCACAGCCAGGTGTCCACACTGAAGATGCCGGCCTCCTGGAATACAGGACGGCCAGTGAAACGGGCTGCGGGGGACACACCGCGGGACCGAGGGACAGGTAAGTGGCTGTTTTGTAAAAGTCAGCAGCTACAGTTTTTTGTAGCTCCTGACTTTTATTTTTTTGACAGCGTGAGTGGGGAACTCCGCTTTAACAATTGGACTTCTCTTCTCTGACCGAGAACAGAAGTGAATGAAATACACGGTAAATGGTCTCAACGTGTAGAAGTAGTAAGATTTGTGCCCATGATCCAACAAGATCAGGGGCTCAGGTACGCCTCAACGAAAGTAAACTAAAAGTAAAAAAACAAAACAAAAAAAACTCCCACAATTATTTAAGATTGGTCCCTCTCAAATAGGTATTTCAATAATGGGAATATACTAACATTTACAGTTTGGGGTCTCCTAAGCATTAAGATTTTTTTTTTCAGGGATGGAAGGTCCCCAACTTCTAGAGGCCATGGGGGGGATGCTCCTCACATTGCAGCATTTTTCCTCTTTCCTCTCTGCTATCACAATCCCTGAGATGGAGAAGCAAGGAGGGACATAATTTACATAAACAGCCAGTACTTACTAGTTACATCGCACCTTATTAAACTGGCCTTATATATTGACTTCACCGGCTGCTTCTCAACGTGCTGCAATGGGGAGTGGAGATGCTGTTCTCCTCTCTCCATTGCAGCTTATCAAACTGCTGCACAGTGGATATAAGTCATGGTAATCACTATCGCGACTTCTCAGTTTATTAAACATACACCCAAATGCAGAAGAGGGATTTATTCTTAATGTAGCCGACTGCTTACCGTAAGTGAGATACGTTTTGCCGAGAAAAGCAATACAAGGAGAAGACTGTGGAGAGGACCCGTTTGGTGTAGTTCAGAATGGTTGGCGTGGCGTCGTTACCAACTACAAACACCTGGAATCACAACATTGGCAATCAGACACAGAGTAATTACAGGGGTCACAACTGGACACACAGCATTCACAGCACTCATTCAGAGAATACAAAGCTGTTGATGAATGGCCAAGCCTCTTTCAGCCTGGCTTACTTTTATTCCGATGTGGAATGGGATGTTTGCGTCCCCCAGCCGGAACACAAGGCTGTATACTGTATGTTGCTGAGGCTATGTACAGGTAATACAGCACGCCCAACAGTGCACTTGTTAGTGTAGGAAATAGTCCGTGTGGGCCAGCTTGGCTCAAACAATCTAGGTAAATTAAAAGTAAAGATGGAGACAAGCTTTGAAACCATAGTCCATCTTATGGTCACTGGATACAATATCCAAGCTCTACTGCTTCACTGTCTCGTCTACTGCTGAAGACCATTGCTCTGAGCTAGCATGTGCAGCCCCTTAGCAGAATGTTGGCCAGCAACTCAGTATACTCCAAGGTTTAAGTCTTTATTAGCTACGCATAGAATACACAGTAACTCAACTAACGCGTTTTGGCCCTGGTGGCCTTACTCATAGCGGTAGCGGTTTTTACTGTGTAGTAGCTACTAAAGACTTAAACTCTGGAGTATAGAGAGCTTGCCGGATAACATTCGTCAGTGCATAGTGCAAGTTATGAGTAAAACAGCCTATATAGACAAGAGGCCCCAGTATATTACAGTGCACTGTAGGCACTCCCAAAGCCTGCCCAATGTACTGCCATATGGATTTACCTTTGCTTGTCTCTATAACCTTCTCATGCACAGCAAGGCTTATACAATCATTTTTGGCATCATGGTAGCACGTGTCACTTTTTTAAAAAGCAGCGCATGTGCAGTGCATGCTCTGTCCCCTAGTCTACATCGGCCTTCTTACTCATAGGGTGGACTATACCTTTAAATATTACTTACACAAAAACACCAGAAGTGTCTTCGAGGTGCAAGGATAATCAACGCGATTTTACAAACTCAAGACGTACCTTATACTATCCCACAGGTATATGGCATTGACTAAACTAAAGAAGTGATGCTGCTCCTCCCTCTGAGTCAATAAGTGCTAACAATACAAATACCATACATATATATGTGTAAATAACCCCACAGAAATATATATCAACATAATAAACATACAACAATTCCAAAGTGCCCTTGTGAATAAAAGAGAAAAATAGTGTTTTCAGATGTATTTTCAGTCTTATAATAACAAAGGTATATTATTATTATTATACAGGATTTATATAGCGCCAACAGTTTGCGCAGCGCTTTACAATATAAAGGGAGAAGTACAATTACAATACAGTTCAGTGCAGAAGGAATATGAGGGCCTGGCTCATGGAGATTACAATCTAAAGGAAGGGGGAGGTGGTATAAAATGTGATAGCTGCGTGGGATGATTCAAATACAGTTCTTAGGTGAAGGTGGGGTAGGTTTCCCTGAATAAGTGGGTTTTCAAAGATCGCTTAAAGGCGAATAGGGTGGGGGCTGACCGGACATACTGGGGGGTAGGGAGTTCCAGAGGATGGGAGAGGTTATGGAGAAGTCTTGGAGGCTGGCATAGGAGGAAGTGACAAGGGAGTTAGAGAGCAAGATGTCTTGGGAGGAGTGGAGTGGACAATATCTGTGGATAAGGTTGGTGATGTAGCTAGGAGCAGTGTTGTGGATAGCTTTGTACGTTGCAGTTAGTATTTGGAATTTTATACGTGGGGCTGTTGAAAGCAAGTGACAGGATTGGCAGAGAGGGGCAGCCTACGCTGATGGTTGGTAAGGTGTATAAGTCTAGCAGCATTCATAATAGACTGAAGGGGGGATAGCCTGTGTAAAGGTAGACCAGTGAGGAGGGAGTTGCAGTAATCGAGGCGGGATATAAAACCAAAGGAGTGGATAAGTTATTTTGTGGTGTCGTTAGTTAGGAAGGGGCAAATTCTGTGAAGGTTGAGACAGCAGGATTTAGCCAGTGATGTGGATGTGGAGCCCGAAGGAGCGGTCAGAGTCTAGGATTACGCCTAGCACCCTGGCATATGGGGATGAACCAATGATTGTGCTGTTGATGTTAATGGTAAGGTCATGAGTGGGGGATCGGGGAGGAGGAAATATTATAGGCTCGGTTTTAGAAAGATTGAGTTTGAGGTAGTATTGTGACATCCATAATGATATGTTGCTCAGTAAATTTGTGGTACGTGAGGAGATCGAGGGGGTGAGCTGGGAGTGGAGAGAGATCTGGGTGTCGTCAGCGTAGAGTTGGTATTGGAAGCCAAGGGAGGTTATCAATTGGCCCAGGAAGGAATTGTAGAAAGAGAAAAGGAGGGGCCCAAGGACAAAGCCTTGGGGTACCCCAAAAGAAAGTGGAGGAGGATCGGACGAGTTGGTGTTGTATGTGACCCTGAAAGTGCGCTGAGAAAGGTAAGAGGAGAACCAGGAAAGAGCGGAGTCACGGAGGCCAAGGGAGTGGAGTTTACTGAGGAGGAACGGGTGGTCAACTGTGTCAAAGGCAGCGGAAAGGTCTAGGAGTACGAGTATGCAGTAATGGCCCTTGGTTTTTAGTAGTTACTAGGTTGTTAGTAAGTTTTGGTAGGGCAGTTTCAGTGGAATGTTGTGGGCAGAAGCCAGACTGTAGGGGATCGAGAAGGTTGTTATCGCTGAAGTGGCAACTCATACGGTTGTGGACCTTGTTCAATTTATTTCTGTATTGCATCTCCTGTGTTCAGTCCAAATCGTGCAAAGTGACATCCACCACCGTTCACCACTGCGCACACCTCAACATATAGGACCTGTCCACTTACAGGTCATAATACACTTTATTCCTCTTTTTATGGGTTCCTTCTGGTGACTCCTTTGAATGTTGCTTCACTGATAGGTAATCTGTTGTTCCTGGGTCTAGGATCTGATCCTCCGCAATTATAGTTGCATGACCCTTTAAAAATGCGATCTATGTTCCTACGGTAGACGCATACAAGATAGGAGGGTCCCATAGTGTAGTATTTATTAAATTGGTATTTATTAGATTAAAAGAACACTCACATTTAAATAAAATTCACAAGCATGTAATTCAGAGAAGTGAAGCCGCGACTCCTGCGTCACTTCAGGTTTCGGCTAACTCCCGGTTCCACCTACATACGTATTGTCACACCACGTGACTTCCTCAATAGTACGGAAGTCACGTGGTGTTCCAACTCATTTCTTTAGCTTATTCATATATATATATTGTTCCTAGATTGTAAGCTCGAAAGAGCAGGGCCCTCAATCCCCTCATGTTTTGCATTGTATTGGTATTGTTCTGTCACATGTTCTGTCCCCCTTTGTAATGTACAGCGCTGAGCGAACTATTGGCGCTTTATAAATACTGTATAATAATAATAATAATATTGTGGGAACACACTGTTGTCTGCCACCCTACAGGGTACATTTTTGTTTAGTGTAAATATTACAAATGGTTTCACTATTTAGGTATTAGAGGTGTGGGATAATTACATTTTTTATCACTTGCTTGAATATGGCATTGGAGTTTTAATACATTTAGCTCACTAATTCACTTAGACTCACCTTAACAATGTCCTCCACACATTGAGACAGTTCTAATTCTGACACCAAAATTTCTCCCGAGGATGAAGACTTTTCTATAATAAAGAACAGGAATGGGAACGGTGACAACATTAATACTAGGGTCTAAGAGCCCACAGGGAGTTTTATGTAACGCATATCCATACTTAGGCATAAAGCTATGCTAAAAAATCTTGTTGGAATGAATGAATAAAGGGGCCAAAATATGCTCCTTGGGGAGATGTTGTTGTAGACTGACTTTTTCCAGTGCTGATCACAAATATGAAGGCCAACCTGGTACTATGGTCAATGCTTACAAAAAAAAAAAAAATATCCAAAATGAACTTCCTTCAGAAGAGATCAGATGACCAAATGAGTAAGCCTTCAGGATGATCTTGCTGAAATTTCCAACTCTGAACAGAGGTAGGTTTTATTTTAGCAAAAACTAGCTTTAAATCCTTTACACAGGCTCTGTCAATGGGAGTGTGCAAACTACTGCAGGTATGTGGAGAATCTAAAGCTGGCCATACATGTGTAGATTTTCGAACGAGAATGTTTGTAAGAAAAATTAGTATGAAAATTCGTTGAACATTCAATGAATGGATGAATGGCATTTGAAATGACTACGCTTTTGCTGCACTACAAGACAATGTGGCTACTTACCTGCCTGTAGCACAGAACAACGCAACAGAGGTTCCAGCATTGGCAGAATTAGAAGTTTTTCTGCCAGGTCTGGATGATCACGCCCCATCTTCAGCATGGTTTCCGTGGCCACTCTCTGAAACTGACGTGCTGTCAACATGTTTTGGATGTGCAGCAAATCCAGAATCTACAGGGGAAGGCAGCAAAGATGAATGTAAGAATTGCATCCTATGAAGAGTCATAGCTCAGCCTAGAGTAGAGTACAGATCACTGGTATGTGCTTTCCAGACTTATGGCTGATTCCTCCATTGTACAAAGTGTCTTACAAGAGGGTGTTACACATACACTGGGTAGCTTTCTGTATTGAGAAAAATGGGTACATTTGCAAATCACATGAGACCATGTCAGGTCATGCTAAAATAATGAAATGTCAAGGCAGGGCAACACAGCAGGTCCATTTACTGCTGTCCTGCAGTTTCTTGAAGCAACTTGTACTCAATGTAATAAACAACACAATTACAAAACCTGTATACATTCCTCTTAAAAGCGCCTATAGGTGGTTTTAGGTGTGACAGAAGACGCTTGTTTTCCTGGGTAGAGGATTGATGACGCTTGTTTTCCTGGGTAGAGGGTTGATGACGCTTGTTTTCCTGGGTAGAGGGATGATGCCGCTGAGAGGAATCTGAAGACAGAATGTAATAGGCTGGTATTGGCTTTCTGCTCCAGTCATCTCTCTGTCCTTTATTCCCATCAACTTCCATCAACTGGACACCTAACAACTGACTAATATGCTATCCATAAATAAAATCCTATACAAATAAGCCAGGCATAAACCCTCACAAAGGACACTAAAACCTTCATAAATGAAAACGCTGCATGGTTACCTGTGGGCAGACCTTCTGGTAATACTGTTCCACAGTCAGGGATTGCTGAGGACATGAGGCCAGAATCTTGGCCACAGCATCACACTTCTTCCAGTTGCTGGCAGCAGCTTCTGCATCTCTTCCCCCAGCAGCACCAGCTGTAAGGTAACAAAAAAAATGAGCACTAATTTTTTTATACCTGCTACTTGGGACACACAAATGGGAAAAATTTCAAAGCAACAATCTCTTGCTACAAAGAGTTTTAACCACTTGCTGGCAGTCACCTTAAAGCGGAGTTCCTCTCACCCTGTCAAAAAATAAAAGTCAGCAGCTACAAAAACTGTAGCTGCTGACTTTTAAAAAACAGCCACTTACCTGTCCCTCGGTGTGTCCCCCGCAGCCCGTTTCACCGGCCGTCCTGTATTCCAGGAGGCGGCATCTTCAGTGTGGGCACCCGGCTGTGATAGCTTGCGGCTTCACAGCCGAGTACCCACTTCGCATGTGCGCGTAGCGCTGCGCTTCATGAATGGTCCTGTAGCCTTCTGGGACCTGTTACGTGTCCCAAAAGACTGCAGGGAGGGAGGAAACTTTCTGCTTCCGATTGCCTAGGCCAGGGGTAGGCAAACTGAGAGCCGCAGGACTGCAAGATCCATCATGCCTCTGCAAGTCATAGCTGTAACTGTCAGTTTTAGTCTGCAATGCCTCCTTCCACTTCTGATCACCTAGGCGATTGGACCGGAAGTGAGAGCAGGTACCTGTCAAATCCCCCCCCCCCCCCGCTCCCCAAAGGTGCCAATCCTTTATGGGGAGCGGTCCTTAAAGCGGAACTTCCCCTTTTGGCTGGAGCTCCGCTTTAATAACATTCAACTACATGGGGGGGGGGGGGGGCAGAGTCGACGCTCTGTGTGTGAATGGACACACAGAGCGCAGCTAGGGAGTGAGCTCGCTAGAGTGCCCCCATAGCAAGAGCCCTGCTATTGAAGGGACTTGGCAGGGGGGAGGAGCCAAAACCACCAGAGGGGACCCAAAAAGAAAAGAAGAGGATCGGGGATGCACTGTGTAAACTCACTGCACAGAGCAGCCAAGTATACCATGTTTGTTATGTAGAAAAAAAAAAAATGACAACCTTTAGAATTACTTAAAACAACACAATTGAGCTAGTAAAAATCTCCTGCGGAGCTCTAGCCTAAAAAGATGTCAGCAAGTCAATAAATTTGCAATAGCAAAACTTGCCCGTGTATCTCTGGCATTAGTTTGAAGTCTGAGACCCCCATTCCCTAAGACCACAATTGTATCAGGCTGCAGAGACTTCTTAAAGACATTCTGTCAAAATACTTATTCCAGCCATCTTCAAAAGCATGTTATAAGGCACAATTATGGCAACAGAGAGAAGATTGGTGTCAATTACCCCGATTCTGTCTTTTTCACATGAGAGCAGAGGATCTAGAGATTTCCGCTGGCAACCTGGCTGAAATTTAGCTTTAAATTTTTTTCAAATTTAGAAATTTAGCAGGATCATGGTGCACACCTGAAGATTCACCTTGCATGCGCATTAATTCGAATATATCTTCTTCAGTCAAACATACTCCCCCAATATCATATAATAGCACCTTATATCTAGCTTAAAGTGAACCTGTATGGCCAAAGTACAGATCCACATTTCAAGGAATCTATAGTCAATGGTGTAATCAGGTAAGTATAATAAACTGAATATAGATTATCCACATCAGACATTTTCAGTGAACAAATGAAGGTAAACCAACCTCCAGCTCCTGCTAAAATCCCGTGAACCACAGCCTGAACCCCTTTCGGTCTCATTAATCTATCAGACAGCAGCTGTCCAGACAAACGGCGCAACCAGGCAGGAGCCGGGGCCCTCTGCACTGAGGATGAAGTTCCTGATGGATGTGGACCCTGAAACACAGTATGATGTCCATTTAGCAACAATAGGAACCAATAGAATAGAATAGAAAAAAGCTCTGCAATCAAACAAAAACAAGGATCAGTTAAAACATTGATCTATTGTGTTTTTACCAGAAAGAAAACAATAAAGACTTTGAGATACACATTCACCCCAAACAGAGAATTACCTGTCTGGGTCCTCCTTGCAGGATTATTAGTTCCTTGATTACTAGTGGCTGGTACAGCTGATCTATCAGGCCCCTCAGGGACTCCTTACATTGGATCCTCTCACTTTCTGTCAAATTCTTAAGAAGAAAACAAAGTAAAACGTTTGTATGTTCATCTTCTTCACAACAGCAACTCTGAAGGGTACTTAACCTCCTTGGCGGTATTCCCGAGTGTAGCTCGGGGTAAAATTTGACTACCAAGAGCGGTAACCCCGAGCTACACTCAGGCTTACCATGCGGCGTTGCTCATGGAGTCCCTGCAGCACTTACCTTGTCCTTCGCTCCCACGATGTGTCCCCTGCAGCATCCCCGGCCATCTCCTCCGGCCGATGCCGACATCCGGCTTCCGTGTTCCGGTCCCTGTGACGTCAGGACGTACGGGCGCCGGAACCGGTGGCAAATTTGAATTTTTAAATGTCATTTTTTTTAAAAATGATTATTACATAGTAACATTGCTGTTTCAATGCATTTCACATACATTTTGTCCCTACTGCTTTGTCCTGCGCCCTGCCTGCATTTTGACTGTTCTTTCTGCCTGGAAACTTAGAAACGTCCATGGCGTCCAAAAAGCGTCCCTTTATGTCAAAAGTGGTTTTAGACCGGCTAGAGAACAGCGATAGTAAATCAAAACCACTTGCAGAATTGAGTGATAATGATTCGTGGGGAAATTCGTCATCAGACACTGAAAACGATTTTGCTCAGTGATGTGCGAACTTGCCGCTATATTTCAAATTTCAGTGTTTTTGGTTTGATTATATTATTGAATTACATTTATTATTATATTATTTTTTTTTATGATTATAAATTATAATTTATGATTTCGTGTTTCAAATTTTATCCTACCCGGGATGTTTACTAGACTCTTGTTCGGACAGATTTCAGTGAGTTATTCCTAAAAATTACAGCCTACAATAAAAAACTACATATTTCCATGCAAACAAATGGTGCCGCTGTCAGCACAAAAAATCGGAAAGAATCATACCGCCGAGGAGGTTAAAGTGGTTGTAAAGTTTTTATTTTTTCCATTAAAATTATAAACATTATATTTATGTGTTCTGTGTAATGGTATTGTACATAGCAGTCTCTTACCTCCACTTTTGGCGTACCCCACAGGTGTTCACCACTCCTTCTCTTCTCTAAGTGCCCTCTCCCGCAGCAAGCCGGCTGTTAAGGGGCAATCCAGGGGCGGACTGACAACTCATGGGGCCCCCTGGGCAATAGGGGATCATGGGGCCCCTGTGTCCTTGCCCAAACTCAAAAAAAGCCTATGAAAAAGGTACCAGAGGCATCTCATGGGGCCCCCTACTGACCCCGGGCCCTCGGGCACTGCCTGAGTTTGCAAATGGTCAGTCCGCCCCTGGGGCACTCATGAGGGTGCGCTCCCGAATCAGGCTGTGTGCGTCCATAGATTGGCCACGGCTAATCACATGACACAGATGGGCTGCAATTGGCCCAGCCTGTGCATGTGATCACTGTGACCATTCACAGCTAGACACACTTGTATACAATGGATGGCATGAAAGGCCCAGACGCTGAGAGGCCGCATATTTGCGGGCGATCGGCATCAAGGGGTTAATGACTACAAAAATTTGACATATCTGAGAATTCAGGTGGGAGTCAATCTCTACTGGTGACCCAACTAGATATAAGACGACAGCACCTGATTTTTCTTGCCAATAACCAGAAAAACTCAAATAAAAGCTTTTCATGAGGTTGAATTTTTTAAATTTTCGCTAGACGTGAACTAGCCATGAAGAAATGAGACCCTAATCGCTCTCAGATGGTACGGGAGTATTACACTGACTTCATACCTTCACTCTGCCTTCTGTAACCGGCTCGGCCTTTGTCTTGGTTGGGCAGTACCCGAGCTGGCACAGTCCTGCCATGAGATCCCCCAGATGTTGTGTAAAGAGAAGGCTCCCCAGTGATGGATGCTGAGACACCTCCAGTAAGGTAGTGCAGGTAATATACAGTCTATGGGTACGAACGTTAGACAGGTCATGAGACACCATTGAACACACGAGAGCTCCAAATTCTGAGCGATGTTGTAGTGGAAGACCGATGCCAGGCAGGAGATAAGGACAGATGCCCATAGAAACCACAAACTGGAGCGCTGAGCGGACATTCTTCTGTTGGGTGATACTGAGTGCATCTGGGCTCAGGACTGGGGCAGCCTCAGGGGTCTTTAGGTTGGGTTTAGGAGGTTTGAATGAAGCTGCCAATTGAAGCATACACTCCTTCAGACACAGAAGCAGCACCAGAGCCTCTAATGTGAACCTCCACGATGGATCTGCCACGGCTTCTGAGCCGTCCTGTATCAGCTTGGTGTCCTCTAAGACTTTTGTCCGCAGGATTCGCAGGTTCTCCCACTTAGGGCCACTCTGCAGCTCTTCCTCCAGAGAGGCCACGTGAAGCTGCAATGTTCTGATTAAGGCGGCTTGTTTATCCGTATCGTGAGCTGCTGATCCAGGTTCTGCAGAAGGACAAAAACAAAACACATATTTCAGAATTTTCCGGCGTATAAGACGACTTTTAACCCCTTGAAAATCCTCTCAAAAGTCGGGGGTCGTCTTATACGCTGGTATACGGCATGCTAACACTTTTTAGGGGGGTGGCGTGGTGCCGCCGCCCCCCCCCCCTTCCAACGGATGGGACACTAAGTACAGGGGTGGGCAGGGGCTGCTGTTTCTTACCTGGCTCCGGTCCCACAACGATCCGGTCCAGGAAGGGCGGCTGCTCCTTCAGTTCGGCCACTGGATGTTAGCGCGGCTACTCGGCTCCGTCTCCTCACCGGTGATTGGCCGCCAGAACTGTAGCTCAGGAAAGGGACACAGGCGGCCAATCACCGGCGAGGGGGCGGAGCCGAGCAGCCCCACGAAAATCGAGTGCAGGAGCGGCCGGTAAGTGTGCAGTGTAGAGGTGCTGCTGCAACCACATATGCTGGCTGCAGCAGCACCATACTAGAACATCGGTCAGCAAGCGTAATTGGTGTCAGTGGGAGGAATAGTGCCCCATCATTGGTGTCACTGATACTAATGATAGGACACTATTCCTCCCACTGACACCAATGATGGGGCACTATTCCTCCCACTGACACCAATGATGGGGCACTATTCCTCCCACTGACACCAATGATGGGGCACTATTCCTCCCACTGACACCAATGATGGGGCACTATTCCTCCCACTGATAACAATGATGGGGCACTATTCCTCCCACTGACACCAATGATGGGGCACTATTTCTCCCCCCCCCCACTGCCACCAATGATGGGGCACTATTCCTCCCCCCACTGACACCAATGATAGGACACTTTTCCTCCCACTGACACCAAAGATGGGGCACTATTCCTCCCACTGACACCAATGATGGGGCACTATTCCTCCCACTGACACCAATGATGGGGCACTATTCCTCCCACTGACACCAATGATGGGGCACTATTCCTCCCACTGACACCAATGATGGGGCACTATTCCTCCCACTGATACCAATGATGGGGCACTATTCCTCCCACTGACACCAATGATGGGGCACTATTCCTCCCACTGATACCAATGATGGGGCACTATTCCTCCCACTGACACCAATGATGGGGCACTATTCCTCCCACTGACACCAATGATGGGGCACTATTCCTCCCACTGACACCAATGATGGGGCACTATTCCTCCCACTGACACCAATGATGGGGCACTATTCCTCCACTGACACCAATGATGGGGCACTATTCCCCCCACTGACACCAATGATGGGGCACTATTCCTCCCACTGACACCAATGATGGGGCACTATTCCTCCCACTGGTGTGCATTGGAAGAGGGGTAGTCTTATACGGCAAGTATAGCCCAAACACTACATTTTAGCAGGAAAAGTAGGGGGTTGTCTTATACGCCGGCAAATACGGTATATGGCAACAAAGAAAAAAGTTATGTGGGCCGATCACACTTTTATCACATCACTTTCATTTCTATCCCGGGTTATGTATGACATGTGTAGAGGAGTGACTGGAATCGAGAATCACATTTTTTTTTTTTTTTGACAAGTAGCACTTTTTTATATTCCTCCAAACATGTCGATGTATGATTGGTGCAGTGTGTGCCGTGCCTCGCACTTCAGGGATCACAAATCAAACATATCCTTAGGACAGTGGCTAAATGGTTAGCACTTCCACCTGGCAGCACTAGGAGCAATGGTTCAAATCGCAACCACAGAACCACCTGCCTGGAGTTTGCATGTTCTCCCTGTGCCTGCGTGGGTTTCCTCTGGGTACTCCGGTTTCCTCCCACACTCCAAAGACATGCTGAAGGGTTAACTGGATCCTGTCTACATTGGCCCTAGTATGAGTATGTATGAATGTAACTTAGGGACTTGAGATTGTACGTCCCTTGAGGGTCAGGGACTGATGTGAATGTAATGTAAATTGACGGCGCTATATAAGTACATGAAATAAAAAAAAATATCCAGAGGAATTCAAAATATGTGTCCACTTAAAGCCTAACTGAGCGTTTAATGTTCCTTTAACCAATTGCCTTCTTTTACCCCCTTCATGACCGGGCCATTTTTTGCTATTTAGCACCGTGCTACATTAACTGGCAATTGCGCAGTCATGCAACGCTGTACCCAAATGAAATGTATATCTTTATTTTCACACAAATAGAGCTTTCTTTTGGTGGTATTTGATTTTTTTAATTATATAAATGAAAAAAAAAAAGACCGAAAATTTTGAAAACAAAAACTTTTTCTACTTTGTGTTATGAATTACAGTATATCCAAGGACACATGGTTTACAACGCTGGGAAATCTGGGACATGCAATTCCAGGAGCTGCAAGCAGCCTCTTTAGCCTGGGTTCACACATATGTGTACTGAAATCGAGTTCCACTGACCTCAATGCAAAAAATGCCTCCCATTGCCTTCAATGCAAAAACCACCTCCCATTGACTTCAATCATGGCAAAAACACGCCTCTCATTGACTTCATGGCAAAAACACGCCTCCCATTGCCTTCAATGCAAAAAACGTCTCCCATTGCCTTCAATGCAAAAACCACCTCCCATTGACTTCATGGCAAAAACACGCCTCTCATTGACTTCATGGCAAAAACACGCCTCCCATTGCCTTCAATGCAAAAAACGTCTCCCATTGCCTTCAATGCAAAAACCGCCTCCCATTGCCTTCAATGCAAAAAATGCCTTCCATTGCCTTCAATGCAAAAAAACACCTCACATTGCCTTCAATGCAAAAAATGCCTTCCATTGCCTTCAATGCAAAAACCGCCTCCCATTGCCTTCAATGCAAAAAAACACCTCCCATTGCCTTCAATGCAAAAAAAACACCTCCCATTGCCTTCAATGCAAAAAAACACCTCCCATTGCCTTCAATGCAAAAAAAAAAATGCCACCCATTGCCTTCAATGCAAAAAAAAAAACACCACCCATTGCTTTCAATGCAAAAAAACGCCTCCCATTGCCTTCACTGCAAAAAACGCCTCCCATTGCCTTCACTGCAAAAAACGCCTCCCATTGCCTTCACTGCAAAAACCGCCTCCCATTGCCTTCACTGCAAAAACCGCCTCCCATTGCCTTCACTGCAAAAAACGCCTCCCATTGACTTCACTGCAAAAACGTCTCCCATTGCCTTCAATGCAAAAACCGCCTCCCATTGCTTTTAATGCAAAAAAAGTCTCCCATTGACTTCAATACAAAAACCGCCTCCCATTGCCTTCAATGCAAAAACCACCTCCCATTGCCTTCAATGCAAAAACCGCCTCCCATTGCCTTCACTGCAAAAACTCCCGTCAATAGCAATCCTATATGAACACTTATCTCTGCATGCCACTCTATTTTATCACTTGCAATCCTGGAACGCACCGCTACAAACTCGCACAGGACCCCTTTTTGTAATGGCGCTCAAAGCGCAATGCGTGTGGATTTGCACCTGTGCAAACCGCCTCAATAGGAACACAATACCTAAGCGGTCATGTGAATCTGTGTTAAAAACACGCATCCAGAATCACATACATGCGAACCCGGGTAGGCCCATTCACAGCTGGGCATTTCGGAATCGGAACAGAATCGCAGTGATGCCGCCCACGATCGCAAAACGCAGCTTCAGGCGCCATTATTGTCACTAGTGTGGCAGGGATCAGATACGGACCGGAGACCATATGATGAAGAATACATTATTTATTTATAAAGAAACTTGTTTCCCCTCTTTTATTATTATTTGTTTTACATCCGGTCATTGGAGTAGTTCAGTGACACCATAGGGACACTACAGACATGTATTCCTCCCATGATAGATTTCCTTTAACCCCATGAAATGCTCTGTGCACCCCAACACTGACAGTCCACACACAGCCCCTCCGCCCACCTGCAGGTAGCCCCGTGTCATGCTATCAATGTATTTATAACGCCCTAGAAGTCCCAGCATGCCGTGCCGAGAGGTAGTGGAGGGGGTCCCCCCGCCTGGGCTCACCTCTCGGGGTGATCAGCACTTTCAGCGCCTCAGTCACCTCAGACACGCTCGGAACACCCGCCATCTTTCTACACCCAGAGTCGCGCTTCATGACGTCATGCTAGACGGAGCCGCAGAGCGAGGGAGCTGAGCGCCAGCGTGTGGTGAGTGGCGGTTGTGAAGCGTCACGTGACCCTCTGTACCTGAGAAGTACCCGAGCATCGATCTGTAGGTGGGGCTCCCGGCATTGTATACAGGAGAAGAGAACCTGTCACCTCCCAGCCTCACATGAATGTTCATGGTTCCCAATAAGGGGATATTGTTGGGGATTACTGTTAATATATATATATTCATGATGGTAGGAGTCAGGGGTGGACTGACCATTTGGAAACTCTGGCACTGCCCGAGGTCAGTAGGGGGCCCCATGAGATGCCCCTGGTACCTTTTTTCATAGGCTTTTTTGAGTTTGGCCAAGGACACAGGGGCCCCATGATCCCCTATTGCCCCGGGGCCCCATGAGTTGTCAATCCACTTCTGGTAGGAGTGACAACCCAGCCGCCTCATAGCTCACCCGCCTCATCGTTCACCTGCCGAGTGTGTGGAAGACAGGGGCGGACTGACCATTTGGAAACTTGGGCACTGCCCAAGGGCCTGGAGTCAGTAGGGGGCCCCATGAGATGCCCCTGGTACCTTTTTCATAGGCTTTTTTGAGTTTGGGCAAGGACACAAGGGCCCCATGATCCCCTATTGCCCGGGGGCCCCATGAGTTGTCAATCCGCCTCTAGTAGGAGTGACAACCCACCCGCCTCATCGTTCATCCGCCTTTTCGTTCACCTGCCGAGTGTGTGGAAGATGGGTGGACTGACCATTTGGAAACTCGGGCACTGCCCGAGGGCCCGGGGTCAGTAGGGGGCCCCATGAGATGTCCTTGGTACCTTTTTCATAGGCTTTTTTGAGTTTGGGCAAGGACACAGGGGCCCCATGATCCCCTATTGCCCGGGGGCCCCATGAACCCCTATTGCCCAGGGGCCCCATGAGTTGTCAGTCCATCCCTGGTGGAAGATATGGAATTTGCTGTCCTCATGAAGAAACTCCAACACAATCTTATAGAAGAACTCCGACTTTAATTGTGTTTTCAGCACATCGTCCCCCGGTGTGTGTAATACTTCACCCCATCTTCCTCTTTGCCCCCCCCCCCCTCCGACAACGCAGGAGCAAGGAGACGGCTGGCTGATGTCTCACATTGGTATCCCAATCACTTCCACAGGAACCAAACCTTTCCCTCCCCCCGTCATGTGCCCCGGCCTCTCCTGTCCCACCTGTGGACCCCAGACCAGCATGCTGGGTGTCACTGGGTGTGGCGGAGGGAGTCCAGCAAGAATTCATTCACTGATCCCCCTTCCGGTGAATGTATTACGTCATTTCCCAGAAGTGCTGCTGGAGAGAGGAGCTAATGGAGCACAAGCTGTTCCCCATTATCCTCAGTGGATTGCAGGGGAGACATCAGGGGTCAAACAGACGGACCCCTGATGTCTCAGCGATGAGATACCCTCAGTACAATTCACTTGTACAGGTACCACGGGAGGTCGGCTCGTACACGCACCCTAATGTACCAGTACATCACCGCAGGTCAGTGCACTCAGAAACTGGAGCTCCCCAAGGATAGTGCTGTGACTGTGCTGTGTCCCCCGTCTGTGACCTCCCTGGTCTAAATTTATAGGGAGATGGTCAAATGAGCAACTCTCCTCCATCCCAATTAGGAACTGATAAGGATCACATGAATTGGGGGGGGGGGGGGGGGGGGGGGAGGGGGGGGGGGGGGGGGGGGATGCTCAAAGACAGACCAGATACAGGCTAAAGTTCTAAAAGATTCTCTGATCGCAGAATGACAAAGGAGGTGAGTATCAATCACCACAAACAGAAAGATATACACTCATTATCCTGAGTTTTGCAAAAAGTCAATGCTTTGCAGACACACAGTTTAGGGTGGAAATGAAAAAGCATTTACCTGTGTGAAAAAGCAGAGAGGACATGATCAGGCGGCTGTGTTCAACTGCTGCTTCACACTCCAGCAGAAAACTGCACCCTGTATATGACTGTGCCCCCCATTCTTCCATCCTATGCTCCCTCGCTCACATCTTCAATCCCTCCCTCTGTAATGTTGCTTTCCCCACCCCTCTAAAGCATGCACACATCACTCCCATACTTAAAAATCCCTCCCTGGACCCCACCAACCTGAACAACTTAAGGCCCATCTCCCTGCTGCCACTTACCTCTAAACTCTTAGGGCTCATGTACACTGCAGCTGATAACTCACGTTTAGGAGCTGTTCAGTGTTTCTTTCAGCAGTCCCTGAACTCTCCCTAATGTTCTCCTATGTGTCCATGTACACATCGTCATTTACAGGCATTTGAGTTTACAGTCGTTTTTTTGAACACAGAAAACTTGCGTTCAGCAGTCGATTTTATCAGCATTTCAAACGCAAAATACTTTAAACGCGGCAAATCGCGTCTATAAGCATTTGCATCTGAAAAGTGTTTTAACTCTTCAGTTCCCAATGCTGCCCAGAGCCTTTTTTCATCATGAAAAATGCATGCAAAGAGTTTTTCAAGGTTCTCAGATGGACAAAACACTGAACACAGGATGTTCCTACTAAGCTTGTCACACATTGTAATGACCAATTCACACCTCAGACCTCTCCCATCCTTGGAAACAAAAGATATGGTAATGACCATTCACACCTCAAATTCCTCATGAAGACCCCCTGCCAGGTGACCTTAATGACTCCCTCCACCAGACACCTTCCCACCCTTGGAAACAAAAGAAATGTTAATGAGCAACTCACACCTAGCTAATGTCAACACATACTGCTATCTCTGCTTCTACTCTCTGTATTTCTCTGAAACAGTCTGAAATAGTTAATAATTTACCACTTTTTAGTGCATTCTGGGCATTTGGGTGGTTCTTCTGTGCTTATCTTTAAAAAAACGCTTCTAAACGCAAACACACATAAACGCGGTATGCAACCACAGCTAAAACAGATGTTTTTTAACCTACATTTTCCAGCAGTCAGTTTCCATCGTGTTCAGAAGTGTCCCGTGTACATGGGGCCTTAGAACGCTTAGTCTACAATCGCCTGACCTCCCACCTCACTGACAACAACCTTCTTCACCCTTTACAGTCTGGCTTTCGCTCACTCCACTCCACTGAAACATCCCTACTAAAAGTCACTAATGATCTACTAACTGCTAAAAACCAATGGCCACTACTCCATACTCCTCCCAACCAATGGCCACTACTCCGTACTCCTCCCAACCAATGGCCACTACTCCGTACTCCTCCCAACAATGGCCACTACTCCGTACTCCTCCCAACCAATGGCCTACTACTCCGTACTCCTCCCAACCAATGATCACTACTCCGTACTCCTCCCAACCAATGATCACTACTCCGTACTCCTCCCAACAATGGCCACTACTCCGTACTCCTCCCCAACCAATGGCCACTACTCCGTACTCCTCCCAACCAATGGCCACTACTCCGTACTCCTCCCAACCAATGGCCACTACTCCGTACTCCTCCCAACCAATGGCCACTACTCCGTACTCCTCCCAACCAATGGTCACTCTCCGTACTCCTCCCAACCAATGGTCACTACTCCGTACTCCTCCCAACCAATGGCCACTACTCCGTACTCCTCCCAACCAATGGCCACTACTCCGTACTCCTCCCAACCAATGGCCACTACTCCGTACTCCTCCCAACCAATGGCCACTACTCCGTACTCCTCCCAACCAATGGCCACTACTCCGTACTCCTCCCAACCAATGGCCACTACTCCGTACTCCAACCAATGGCCACACTACTCCGTACTCCTCCCAACCAATGGTCACTACTCCGTACTCCTCCCAACCAATGGCCACTACTCCACACTCCTCCCAACCAATGGCCACTACTCCATACTCCTCCCAAACCAATGACCACTATACTATACTCTTACTACTTGATCTCTCCGTGGCTTTTGATACTGTTAGCCATCCTCTCCTCCTCAAAAAACTCCACTTCTTTGGTCTCAGAGACTCTGCTCTCTCCTGGTTCTCCTCCTACCTATCGCAGCGCTCCTTCAGTGTTACCTATAACTCTGTCTCCTCCTCTTTACTCCCTCTTTCTGTAGGGGTCCCTCAAGGTTCTGTCCTTGGACCTCTTGTCTTCTCCACACCTCCTCCCTTGGTCACTTGATAAACTCCCATTGCTTTAAGTACCATCTCTATGCTGATGACACACAAATCTATCTTTCTACTCCTCACCTCACCCCTTCAGTCTCCTCTCGCATTATTAACCTACTAAGCAACATATCAGCATGGATGTCACTCCACTTCCTCAAACTCAATCTTTCCAAAACTGAGCTCTTAGTATTCCCCCCAGCCTGTGCCCCCTCCCCTGACTTCTCCATACAGATCAACAATACAACCATTAGTCCCTCCCCTCATGCCACGGTACTAGGTGTAATCCTGGACTCCTATCCGTCCTTTCACCCCCAAATCCAATCACTGTCCAAATTACATCACCTATCTTGTCTCCAAATATCACCCAAACTGTCCTCTCTTCTCCTCCCACGACCTACTGCTCTCTAGTTCCCTTGTCTCCTTCTCCCATGCTGGTCTCCAGGACTTCTCCAGAGCTTCCCCCATCCTCTGAAACTCTCTACCCCAATTTATCAGACTATCGCCTACTCTGCTCACTTTTAGGCAATCTCTGAAAACCTATCTCTTCAGGGAAGCCTATCCTGCCCTCAGCTAATAACGGAATATTCTACTCCTCCAACCAGTCCATCCCCCACAGTTTTTACCTTTTGTACCACTAGCCCCTCCCTCCTAGATTGTAAGCTCCGAGGAGCAGGGCCCTCCTATCCCTCTTGTATTGAACTGTACTGTTGCTGTATTGTCTCCTGTCATATTGTAAAGCGCTGAGCAAACTGTTGGCGCTATATAAATCCTGTATAATAATAATAATAATATTAATAGTATGCATTTTAAAAATTGACTGTACATATAAAAGGCACCACTAGAGGGTACAATGTGT